AACACTAACATAATGCTGCCACACTAGATGCATTTCACCACCCTGTGTGCAAAGACACACACACACACACACACCTATACCTAAAGGCAGCATTTCCATCTCGTGCCCTATGGGCCCACATTCAATTCCCACTCTCAAATGTCTAATACCAGAATGTTATTTGGATGGTTGAGTATATTTGCACATATTTCCATTAATATACATACAGTACTGTGTGCTTACCAATGATCATGATAAAATTAACTTCATAATTGCATAGTGTAAGACTGGTCCCCCAAAATAAAAAAAAGTCTAACAAAAGGGAGGGTATCTGGTTCATAATCACATAGGACAGTTCTTCTAGGTCCCACACTGTAGTCTCAGGGTTAATTCCCATTGGTGGAGAGCAGTTATGCGCTTATCTCTCATCAATATGTCATGGGTTTGAATCCTGCTTGGCCCAGACACACAATGTGAAGGGTATTATTTAGTGTGACTATCAAATATCACACGTTTACTACAGTTTCCTCCTGTACTAACATTGGATAGACCAATCACCCAGATGGCTAGTAAGCTGACAAGTGATAAAATGATGAATAAAATAAATAAATAAATAAATAAATCCCTCATCCTCTTAATTTTCCGGATAACGGAAAAATGTTATCGGAAATTCCAGAAATTGCCCAATACATCATCTCTCAAACCCGGAAAAAACTCCCCCATCCAAGGAATTTTTCAGGTATCAGAAAAATTTTCTTGGAATTTTCTGGAAAATGTGCCCCTCAGAAAATCATTCCCAAAGCCGCAATTTTCCAGAAAATTGCGGCTTTGGGAACAATTTTCCTAGAAAATTTCAATTCCAGCCCGACTTACGATGGGGTTAGGCACCCAAATCCAGGTCATAAGTCGAATTGGTCGTAACTCGAAAATGCAAAGATAATACATAGAAAATCTAAAATGGGCGTCTCTTTTTCTTCTCAGCACCACAAAACTCTCACTTTTAAGCATGCCAGCCATTTTAAAGGGAATTACAAACGAAAATTTGGTCAGTACACAGCGCAATCAGTAACGTTGGGACTCGAAAATACGTAATTTGAAAAATTTTTGGTGCGACTGGGGCAGTCGTATGTCCGGGTGGACTATATAGTTGAGGGGAGATAGTTTATTTGATTTGAAAGTTTGATGGAACCGTTCCAAGCAACCCTGGGATTGTGGGTGGTAAGCCGAAGATGTACAATGGTCCACACTGAGGTCTTTCATCACCTGTTTGAAAAGATTGCTCGTAAAATTGGTGCCCTGATCGGATTGGATCTCTTTAGGAATGCCCACTAAAGTGAAAAGGTGCAAAAGATGTTTGATTACATTTTTTGAAGTGATGCTTTTAAGGGGAAAAGCCTCAGGATAACGTGTACTGTATCCATAACTGTGAGCAGGAATTGATTTCCCTTCTTAGTCTTTGGTAATGGGCCCACACAATCCACCACAATGTTTTCAAATGGTGTAGAAAATATTGGGATGGGCTTAATGGGAGCTGCTGGTATACTTTCATTTGGTTTTCCTACCATTTGACAAATATGACAAGATTTTAGGTACTTTGACACATCCTTCCTAAGTCCAGGCCAGTAATAGTGTTGGAGGAGCTTTTTATATGTTTTCAGGATTCCCAAATGTCCTGAAATACCATCATGGGCAAGGGTAATTAATGCTGGTCTGACTGAGGAGGGAATTACCACTTGATGTATTTCAGACCGCGTGTCTAGATGGGTAAGCTCAGGGGGTCTATAGGCCCTTATCAAAACCCCTTCCTGATAATAAAAACACGGAAGGGTTAAAATCTTTACCCTCAACTGCTGCATGATGAAGTTTATTCAAAGATGGATCAGATTGTTGGGCTTTAATGAGCTCATCCTCACTAATGGTCTTATTGTACAGATCTTCTGTGGGTAGGAAGATATTAGAGGTGGTTTTAGATGAAGAGGGCCCATTTCGCACACTCTGTGACCGGGTGACAGCACAAGATGGGAAAAGGTGAGGAATAGTTTCTTCAAGGTCAGTGGTGGAGTTGACAGGTAAGGGAGAGTCGACTGTCTTTATGTTGGGAACCACTAAATCTCCTACCAAGTCATTACCCAATAATAAATGAATGCCACTCACAGGCATTGGATCTTTCCTAATGGCTACTTGCACTTCAGTAATCAAGGGACATTGAGTGCACTTTAATAAGGGATAGGAAGAATGGGATGAGAGATCTGAAATTAGAACACTCATTAGTAAATCGGTAGATACATCAGAAATGGCGTTAAACAGGAGGATAGATTGTGCTAGCGTATCACGGTAGTATACAAATAGGGAGGGAGATCTGATGGGCCTCACAGTGGTATATTATGTATATGTATATGTATTATGTATATGTATATATATATATATTTATGTATATATTGTATTATATATGTATATATATGTATATATATATATGTATATATTTATATATATATTATATATGTTGTATATGTATATATAT